ACGACGCTGAAGTACGAACTAGCATTTCCCTACAGAAGCACAGGGACATTTAGAAAAGCCGGCGTAAATATTTGCACGGCCTGTATCAGATGCCACGGCGGTGCAACGGCGTGTTGTAACGCTGCTCCTTCAATTATTTCCCTCGCGTGTTACACGCCGATCAAACAGCCGGGACAATATTCGCCAAAACTACCACAGCAAACATCGCCATTTCTCATGATTAAATCAAAACACACTCCTGTCGCGTTCATAGATCAACCTGTTGATCGTTAATTCCAGACAGCGTTATCCCTCGCGTCGCGCGAGCGTTGCGTATCCACTTCGCTTCTCGGTCTCTCTCTCTCTCAGCAAAAATATTGAACCGCGTCGCGGCCGTCGCGTAGCCAGCTGTCCTCGAGCGATCCTGCGAAAATTGCTCGCAGTATCGATCCGCCGCCGCCGCCGCCGCCACCGCCGCCGCCGCCGCCGCCGCTGCCGCCGCCTCTGAGACATCCCCTTGCTTCCGTGGCAAAATTAATTGACGGATGCGCAGTGCCGCGCGGGATCCACCCGGACTCTTTCCCGTCCGTGTACATATTTATTCTAATCGAGCCTCCGCTGAAAATTCGATGAAAGCGCGAGCCCGGCCGAGTCGCGAAATTAATTGGAAAGTAAGCTCCTGCCGAGCACTCATCATGCTCGAGCCGATCCATCGCCCAGTCGCTTGCGACTCGGAAATCACGAGCGCTCGAAGGCTCGAAGAGGCTCGGAGGTACCAAGGTATCCCATTCCGCGTCTTCCGCGCGTGTGCTTTCGCGTTCTTCTCCACCAAAATCGACGGATATGTTTCGAACGCAGCAGCGACCAAGACAACGGCACGGTCCGCTGGTTGACAGATATCGATATGCGGCGAGCCGAGCGGTTCGCGCAAAATACACGGGACTGATCCGTTTGCGTTAACGCGTTCCCATTGAGCTCTTGCCGACCCGGCGGATCGATCGCGCCGAATATCAGCAGCGCACCTTCGGCTGAGGCACAGCTGCGCCCGTGATGTCCCGTGATTCACATGAGAAGCTATTTCCCGGGGATGTGTGTGCGTGCGTGTGTGTGCAAACTCGACAGCGGACCCCCGCAACTGCAATTCGCAACTGCGCTCGTGCGCGGCGCGAGGGTCTTTCGCGTTGCAGCGAAACATCACTATTTATGGAACGTTCGACTGCTACAGCTCTCATCGCGCCCGCGCCCGCGCCCGCGTCCGCAGTTCCCTCGTCGAATATTCGTGGCTTTTCAAGCCGGATACAAACGTTTGGCATTTTCGCGGGCATTCTCGACAGCGTCGAGAATTTTTTTCACGCCCACGTAATTTTTTTTTTCTGTAATTTGCTATTTTGTTTGTCTTGCACGATCTCATTAGGAGTAACAGCCGAATGGGGGGGACGAATTTCGTGAAACAACCTTTAATTTGTGACGGGATTCGCGAATTGCTGAGGAAACAATTTTTCCCAGGTGAAAAATTTGGGATGTGTCTTTGCACGTTGCGAGATAATTAAAATAAAGTTACAATTAAAATTTCGCTACGACTTCCGTCGTGAATCACGAAAGCGAAATTTGTAGTGTTCGGGTGTAATTGCTCAAATGCGAGTATCGTATGTTTATCCTCTCTGACGTTGCCCCGTCATCGTTCCTCTCGCGGGGAGAGCAGTCATCGCGAAATTGCGGCCGGGAGTTACAGTCGCATCTGGTCCAGACATTATGTATCATCGTGCTTAATGGCTTTCCCCTCGAATTGCTTGTCGAATCGCGAATCGAAACCATCATTATTGTGCTTCCTGTATGATTACAGCATATTAGTTGTCGATAGCGCAGATAACGTCGCGATTAGCAGATGTTGTTCCGCTCGTAAATACAAGCGAGAGGGGATAAACCGGGAACGGGAGAGATATAGAGAGAATGAGAGAGAGAGAGAGAGAGAGAGAGAGAGAGAGAGAGACGATGCGATAATAGGAAATGAGCGAGATTAGGTTACATCGCCGAGGACATTCGGCGAAATCCTGAGAGCGCTTTGCATTTTGTCGCTTGGATTGGCGATGAAAGCGAGAGAGGTAGAATAATGAAAACCTTCACGCGATCAGTAATCTTACACGCGTCGTCGTGAGAATCGTGTTGCTTCGCTCTTCGATATCTCTTAAATATCGAAAACGCCGTGGAAGCTCATTAATTGCTCATTATATATATTATAATTTCTCATATCTTAGATATGACATATATACGTATCACGGTGAAACGACAATACAAAACGTATTAACGAAACAAAACTGTGCTAAGAAAAGGGAGTGAGAATTTTACACAACGCGTCGTGTTGGCAAATTGAACTAACTTTCGGAGAGAGCGAAATTGCACGCGAACGCGAACGCGAATGAACGTATGCTTCGTGTAACTATTTTACTCGTTTTGATACCGTGAACGAATACTGTGAACTGGACGGTGACTCATAAATTCACCACCGCGCGCGTGGGCGTCACGGTTGGATGCTTTGTACCATTGAATCGCCGCATTAATTGTTCTAAATGTTAGCGCGATTAATGTTTGATCGCAGTCGTGCGCTGATTGTATAACGATGCGAAGCTCGCTACGCCTACGAATATCTAAATAATAGAAGACTAACTGCGAATTGATTTTCGAGCGCATCGCTATTTGCGGAAACGCATTTCGCGATAGCGAAGATTGAATAGCTCTCGACCAACAATTGGGCTGATATAATTGATGAAAAATATCCCGCGCGCACTCTCTGTGCTTGTCGAATTAATAATTAAGCATTTCTTTTAATCGGTTAAATTCATATTTAAGTATTCTCTCGTGATTCCCGTCAATTCTCCAAATTTGCACGATCCGATTTTCTCGGTTCGTTCGGAATTAAATCGCGGACATTCAATCGGCACATCCCACTCTTCCGCTAACCCTTGCCGCATCGCGTCTCAAACTGCGACGAGAAAGGAGAAGAACGAGAGCACATATAGAGAGGGTTAGAGAGAGAGAGAGAGAGAGAGAGAGGGAGAAAGAGAGAGAAAGGGAGACGAAGAGGGAGAGGTGAAACGAACCGTTGAATGCGCAACGAATAATTAAATGTCAATCGCACGCCAGCTCGTCGGGCGCAGGCTTAGAGTCACTGCTTCCCTCCTTCCTTCCCCCTGTCTCTCTCTCTCTCTCTCTCTCTCTCTCTCTCTCTCTCTCTTTCTATCTCCTTCTCTCTGGCTATTTACCTAGCTATTTACCTGACGCACATGCGCGCTAGTAATTATTACATAACGGTTGGTATAACTGCAAACCATCAGCCATTTAGAGCAACGGCTGCTCCGACCATCGACAATCTCGCATCCGTGGGATGCGAGGTACCGTGTTGATTAACTGTCGTTCTGTAGAACGGAATTGTAAGATACACGTGTAACAACAATAAGTCGGAACAATGATGAACGCAAGAACGCGCGTTCCGCTAGTATCGACGGTAGCATTACGAGATTCCCCGCGATCGCACGAAGTAACTGCCAAGTCGAAAATACGGATGGAAGCGGAAATTGATTATTTTCCGATAACTGACGCAGGCGTTCTACCGACGGGTCAATTAAATTAAACGATTATCGCACTGATATGGCGAGTCGGTTGAAAAATTGAACCGAAAGTGTAGCGGGGGGGGGGGGGGTTTACGAAGGCAGGTCGAATTTTTCAAGGGATCGATAGGGGAACAAGTGTGAGGAACACAAGTTGCGATTGAAAATATCGCAGGGAAAAGTCAACCGCGTCGCGCGAATATCTAAGACAGAAGTTTCGTCGGAAACATGGTCGCGCGCAGACGACATAGTGTGGAACATTGTCGTAGCAAGTCAGCCGCGAACAGCTCAAGGGACAGAAATGTAAAATAACTATAGCTCGGTAAAAAAAGGAGGAGAGGGAAGGGAGGATGAACATAAAGCAGGAACGATAGAGGAGCATCCGGCGAAGAAACAGTGCACGGGAAAATGGCAAAGGGGAGACAGAGGGGGAGAGAGAGAGAGAGAGAGAGAGAGAGAGAGAGAGAGAGAGAGAGAGAGAGAGAGAGAGAGAGAGAGAGGGAAGGGGAGAGAGTTCCTCGCGTAGCATTGAAAGATTAATGACTCCAATGTCGGTTGCTGATTAACCCAGGTCCTATCAAAGCACCTCGCGATTCGTTAATCTCTCAATTAGCGTCGCACTAATAGGTCTGCCGAACCTGCGTGTTGCACCCCTTTCAACACGCGATTGTTCTGCATAATACAGTTGTCTTGCTGAAGCGTCGGCTGTTCTTGCTGCAATTGACCCGCTATTGTGTTAGACGGAACTCGATCCTTCACTTTGCCATGGTCGAATTGCCCTTGACGTTTGTGCAGGTGCGGGTATCGAGTCGAGTCGAGTCCGCCGACTCGATGTGTGTGTATGTGTGTATCGTGATCCAAATTTTTATATGGGCTTCGCGTACTTTATTTTTTAGAGATCTCTTTGGCGGCTGATTTCTCGCGAGAGAAATTTTTTTCTATAGCGGAACGGCGAGATAGATTAATAAGAAATTGTAGAACAGAAAGTAAACAAACAGTAAATAAATGAGAGAATCCATGCTGTATGAATTTTTAGCAAAGGGCAGATATCGTTTTTTGCGTTAACAGCGCTCGGAAGAAGCTATATAGCTTTAACCTTCGTCAAGCGATCTCTCTCCCGACGATGCAACGCTTTAAAACGTACAAAATATTTAACGTCTGCGCGATAAGCTGGCGTGATAAAACGATATCGAAAGGGTTCGGTATTCAGGAGTCAAAGAAGGGACTATGCGAAGCAGTCGCCGTTCGTTGCATTGGCAAATCGGTGTTGTTGTTATCGGGGAATTTGGTACGAGTGATAAAAGTAGCTATGCACTGCGAATTTGGGTCGTGCTCAAATCCTTCGATCTGATCTCTCGAAGCATAGAGGTACTACAATTATGACGGTAATCATCAGCGCTCTAATTATATACTCACTTCTGTGCCCTTTGTCCATGACCGGATCCCTCCTCAGTTTCACTCTTCTCTTCGCGTTCATCCGCGGTGCTGGAAAAAAAAAAGAAATACACCTTAAGATTCAGACTTCAATCGTTGTACTTGACTGCGCGAGTTCTCGTTATTCTGTGAATAAATCATAGCTCGGGGAGAGAGAAAATCACCCGGGATGAAGCGAAGCGATAATAAAATGCAGAAGCGCACAAATGAATGTAACATAAATGCACGGGAGAGACGAGCGCATAAAAGTGATATCAACGCGAGGAGAGTCGATTTGTCAAACGGACATGATTTTAAAATCTCATTTAAAAACAGTACATCCGCGAAGGAGAAAGAAAAGCGTAGCGAAATCGTGAGAGCGGCAAATGTTTGTTTCCCCGGGAAAATTGCATCGATTTATAAATGGAGGTATACTGCCGGTGGGCACGGTAACTCCGTATGTACGAGTAGTTTCTGCAAAACAAAATGATTTTTCTTTCGCGAGCAGGTAGCACGTGGCCAATGATGGAAAGTGGTCGTGACTCGCGCGTTGCGCCGCGGAAGCCGCGTCGGCCGCGCGCGTTGCTTTGCAAAAGTGACGGACTTCGTGTTGCGAGAAGAAACGAAATTTCTGCCACACTGTCAGTTATCGTTTGCGCGATTGCCGATCGCGCTCGCGTGATATCGCGTGATTCGCGTCGCGTTTTCGAGCGCCCGTCATCCGACTCGAAATCCGGCGCCTACGCGTCGGGAAAACGAGTTTAACCGGCGCTGCCGCTCATCGTTGCATTTTTTGCGCTGCCGGCGCGGATTTCAGATTAATACATGCGAGCAACGACGATGAAAGAGCCGCGACGAGGCGAGCGACGGCTGGCCGGCCGGCAGGGGGTAGGACTTCGGGGAACGGTTCCTTTTTTTAAATATAATGCGCCCCGGCGAGATTTCTGCTCGACGTAGCGTAAAGGCGATTTCGGCGCTAACCTCGATTGCATCCCTTCTGCGATCGATACCGACGATCCGTACCGGCGCGACTGCTTCGGAAAATCGAGCCAACGATGCCGCGAGCCGCGGATAAATGTCCGATGGGATAAAAGCGACCGTCGGGAGCGCAATCGAGTGAAAGTGGTAAATTTTTTAACGCGCGACACGCGCCTGTATTTTTCAGGGCGGGGCGGTGGCAATCGGTGGCACTCGTTTCTAGATAAAGACTTCAGTATCATCCGACCTTTTTGCATCTTTCGGCGAAAAATGCAATTTTTCGTTCTCGAGACACTCGGGGCGCATTGCTTCAATTACCCGCGAACGTTAATCGTGATGTGTGCGAGCTATATTTCACACGAGTAAAAAAAAAACGATGAAATTAAATTAGCTTATATCGAGTTAAATGATCGAATTAATTCAGACGGTCGTTTACCGGCAACCGGTAGTTGCGAAACACGACGGGACATTTTTAATCGCGTGTGCGTTTTGAGGAAAATAGAGATAGAGATAGAGATAGAGAGATAGAGTGGGTGGAAAAAGGGGAAAGAGGGAGGGAGTTGACGTAATTTCCGAGTGAAAAACGTCACGCAGCTGGGGGCCGCTGTGTGAACTTCGTTAACAATTTGGTCGGGACTTGAATGTCTCACGATTACTTAGCGTGAGAGCGCTTGATTATCCTTCCACTTTTCCACTTGGTCGGTTATCACGGTGTGTTTATCAGCGCGCAAATTCGTCCCCTCATCTTAGGTAAATCGAACGCGGGATGAACATGAGTTGCTACACGAGAACTTGGCGACGCGTTAATAACTTGTCGCTCAGGAAACATGCAATTAACAATATTATGTTTGTTTATTAATCTCCATTGTACGAGGATATCTGCTTATCAAAGACACGTCGCGCGACTATCGTATCTTCTCAGCAGAGTATCTTCTCATTTGGACGTAACTTGCGAGGCCTAATTAAACAAGCACGATCTGTAAATCGTAGAACGCGTATCTCGCTTTGCATTAAAAAGAGAGAAAGAGAGACACGAATTCTTCCCAGTGGCGTGTATTTCCCGATCTTACGATTTCGCCGCGCGCAAATACTCGTGTAAGTTTCCTTTAATTCACAAATATCGCGCAGACCGTATTTCCCCGCCAGAAGCGCAAATCAATTATACGATCCACTAACGGTTATATCTCTGCTCTCCTCCCTCTTTCATATTCTATCTTCGTTCCTACCCTCTCTCGTCCTTCCCGTCCCCTCACGTGCAGCTTGTTGCATCGCAGTTTATCGGCGAGATAGACGACGTAGGCGTAATCTGCCTTCCGATCGACACGCCGTTAATGAACACATGGACAGATCGCGATTCGCACGTAGAGCCGGCATGGCGTGTCGGGTCGCGATAACAGCCGAGGCTGCAATCGATATAGCGCGCCTATACGCGGGAGAGGCTAGGCTCGCCGAGGTGGGAAAAATAAAACGGCTCGTTTTTCCACGGTGATCCACGCGTGAGGAGGAAAATATGCATGTCGAGAGGCCGCATTGCGATAAAATCTCCTGCAAGTCGCACACGCCACGGAGACTCCGCAGACTCCAAGAGTTTCCCGCGCGATTCCGTGCGACCACAGATTGTCAATTTCTTGTTATTAAAGTTATGACAGGAGCGGTATCGAATGGCGGTGGCGTTACTCGCACGAAATCACGCACGTCTTTGTCCTCGTCTTTGTTGTTGTCCGACGAATGATCAGAAAATACGACGGAAACTTTGTGAGTCGATAGTAGCACGATAGGACTGACTTTCTTTTCTATCTGTTCTCGTGAGACTTTAGAGAGGGATTATCGCGGACTTTTTCAGCGTTTCCATGATATATAAATAGTGCAGTTTGTGGCTGTTAATTACGAACATTTTCAACAATCTTGAGGATCATCTGTGCGGCGCATGAAACTAATAAATCAATTTAATTGGTTGACATGAGTATTCGCGTGATATACTAAGGGAGGAATTTTAGTGTTTTAATTAAATGCGATAGCGAAGTAGGTGCTTTTGTCGAGAGGCTCAGAACCAGGTCAGCCATAGCAAAGAAAGGAAAAGAAAAGAGAGTAGTGCACCGTGAGACCGGACTAGTTAGTGCTAATGGCGATAAAATCATTCCACTAACGACGTGTGACGAAAATGATCTTTGTGTGTGTACCGTGCATGCACGTCGTTCAAATGCCACTGTATAAAAATCTCGCTAAGCGCTCATTAATGAGTGACCAAGAATAAATATTGGAATACAATTACTGTCAATAGTTAAATAATCGTAGCCATGAAGTATCTTTCGTCGGAGGTCATACGGGGTTGGATTGCGAATCTTCCTCGAGGTATCTCGCGATAATTCATTGGACAACGTTTTTACGTTCGAGATATACATCGCGATTTAATTCCTTCGCCTTTCAGTCGTTAATTTCTGTTCGTAAAAATTGCAGTGTAAGAGATAATCGGCTAAACGCGTTTAAATAAATACACTCCTTTGCCGCGGTAAGCTTTGTCGCGGCAGGACGCGAAATAAGAGAGACGCGCGAAAGCGCGCTTTAATCGAGACACCGGTGCCTCGATAATCTGCGCAAGAAAAATATCGTGTCGAGGCAGCTGCGGTACGACGTAGTATAATCCTACCGGATAACGAAATCCTGAAACTCACGATAGAAACGGGCTTTCGATTCGAGCAGAACCCAACGTATTATAAATATTTAGGAAGAGAGAGAAAAGAGGGGATCTCGCGAGTTGCCCGAGAACAGTCGATTTCAAGTCACTTTCGGGCGAGAGCAATAAGCGCATCTTTTAATAGCGCGTTTATATGACAAAGTCGTTCGTTTTCCTCCTTACGAATGTCGAACCGCACAACGCGCGAGGTAAATTGATAGTCATAAATCGCGAGAGGAAGACGTCGCGATGAATTTCAAAATTCCGCGAGGATTTCAAACAGGGAGACGACAAATTCGCGTGATTTCTCACAGATACGCGGGGAGTATTACGTACACGAAAATGATCACTTCGTTCACAATGGCAACAGTTTCTCCCCGGGTACGGCGGCGACGTCGGACGTATCATCGATCTTTACTACTGCGTATTATAACGCCACTCCTCCGCGAAAGAGTGATTCTGTTAAAAGCAGTTCGCGCGAGCGGGTGCGCGCGCGTGTGTGTGTGTGCGCGAATTGAAAACAACGTTTGATCGTGCTCGAGTCGGACATCATAGCCTGATTAATCCAAACGCGCCGTGTTATCCTGGACAAACGGACCTCTTGCGTTTTTCCGCGGCGGATTAATCGCCGTTCGCGCGCGACACCTTGCTTCTCCCGACGGATGGATTCACAGCAAGCCCCGAACTCAATTAAAATTCCCGATTGCTAATTAAGGGAATTTCACTGCTGACGCGACAAAAACCTCAAGCTTACTACCTGAGACGGTTAACCGAGGCGGAATTGAATTATCGCCTGATTGAAGGTCGGTAACGCCAAGCAATTCGCGTGTCTGCTGCGGGAATCACGTGCGAAGGAATGAAGTTCACGTCGAACTTTGTAACAGAATGAAATAGTGAGGGATTATTTCTTAAACAGCCGAGAGCGGTTACAATCGCACTTTGTGTCGGACACACTCTGACGTTCGATAATCCCCAATTGGCCTCTATTTTTCTTTACGTTTCTATTCCTGTCGAGCGTCACACTTTATTATTCTACTGCCGCTTCCGAATCACAACAACTTCCTATCGATAGCGCTACGACTGTGCTCTTTTCGCAAGAAAAATTCCCGTCATAGATGTAGAAGGGTAATAAATAAATGAAAACGAGGGGATTAGCGCTGTGGCCGGGGAGGTAAAAGTTAACGTGCTCGCGAGACCTTTGCAAATGTTTCAATAAGCGGACTCACCAATATCACTGTCGACGTCATGAATGACGATCTTGATACCTTCCCCATCGACCAGACTGCCCTGCCTAGGTAGTTCTCGTTCCTCGACCGCCACTCTGCTAACTGCCGTAGGAGGGACGCCCTTTGCCGCGCCTGGTGCCGATGTCAACGCCCTTATCGCGTTTATATCGGGCCTGAAATGACAAGCGAGAGATCCGTGACGTTAGCAAAATTGTCGAGAGAGAGAGAGAGAGAGAGAGAGAGTGTGTCCTCGTAAATTCCTGTCGTTGAATTAGGAAATTCCCTTGCTGCTTTCGCCGAGTAGACATTTTAGATGGACATTCGATTGATTTGCGCGCGAACTTTACTGAAATAACGGAGGAGGGCCGGTTCGAGAGGCGACTGCTCTGAAACGTTGCTGAAATCAAATGTAGGAGATAACGAAAGTTCCTCGCGAACAATTAACAGCAACAAGTAAACAACGAGCGTTAGCGAGTTAGTTCGTCGATGCCTGGGGACCGTTTCGGAAGCCACTAAAGACTCCCGTTGATGTGAGCCCGTGCGTAAGCCGATTTAAGGGACTGATTATAATCATTATGTGCAGATCAGGCGGACTGACCGAGTCATCGTGAATAAGCTGCAAAATTGCTATCGATCCGCTAAGTCTCGCTATGTTGCGAAACTATCCCGGAACGACCAAGACAAGTTTAATTTTGCCATCGCTCGAGGCAAAGGATAAAAAAAATTGGCTGTTCCAGCCAATATCGACTTTCGTTCTCTTGTTTTTGCGAAATTGCGATATAAATCGCCGTGAAATATCGCTTCGTTTGGTCGAGCATCGACGCGAGCCATGTTGACTCGAGATGAACTCTTAATAAACGTAATTCGTTTATTAATCTAACAATATTAATATGCGATGCCATTATTATCGATCGCGTTATCTCCGACATTGAGCAGCATCGTTTAAGCGCTCCTCACTCCAACTATGTTCATTTGACATTTCGCATTAATCGGAAACAATGATGGGAGAAATGTGGAGAGCCGGTGGTAGCGTAAAAATATTCCCAGGTAATGATAGAAAACACATGCGAAATGTAAAATTTTATCGAAGCAAATTGGCGTACTTTACTGCAGTATAAACGTCCGGATATTCGAACGAAGGGAAATATTTTCCCCACTGATTATCAGCGACGTCGTTGAAATTATATAATGGCGAGCCCCGCGTCGGTGCGTAGAAAACTCGTCTCGCGCTGCAATTCGTCACGAGCGTGCCCTTAATTTTCAATACAAAACAGGTAGCTAACTGCCCTTAAACGAAATTCTCCTTACAACGGGAAGGAAAAAAAATACGAGCGAGGAGGACGCGGGAAAGACGCGGAGGTCTCGCCGCGGGCGTTTTTCGCCAGACGACGAAAACGAGTTTTTCCCCGGTGGGTCGACTTTCAAACGCCGCCGCCGCCGCCGCCGCAATTGCGTTAAACTTTCCACCGGCAGGCGGATGAACATCGCCGACCGGGCAATACATTCTTCGTCCGCCCACCCGCGGTGTCACACCACCACAGACACAAATTACCGTCCTAATCCCGCGCCATAAAGGCTAAGGAAGCTTATGTACGTTCGAGGTTCATAAAGTAGCCCGGCGGCCGCTGTAACTATCATCTTGTCCCGCGCTAAAACAACGGCTGACTTCGCCCCGGAAACATTTTTAGCGCACTACATTTGACCGTTTGATTCTCGAGCCGAGATAACATGCATGGCGATCTTTATGCCGGACATAAAAGACAGTAATCGGAGACGGCCGCCGCGTCTCTGATGGAGAAAAGATCGCGCTTTCGCTGCTCTTCTTTCAGGAAACAATTCGTTTGGCGCGCCACGTCGAGCGAGCGAAGGAGAAAATAGCGGGAAAAATTGTCAAATCTTTCATTCGCCCGTAGATTTACTCTCGACGGTATTTTCGAATCACGAGTCGTTGCTTGAAACATTTCCGCGCGCAACAATCGCTCGAACGGGCGACGCCCGCAAATCAAATCGCATCTTAACGTCACGCGGCTTTTCCCGCGAAATATATATCTTCCGTTTTCCGGGCGATTTTGTCCCGTGGGGATATGAATTTTTCAGACAGACGGATTAAACACGCATTAAACGCGCGTGCACCGGCCATATGAATATATGGCTTTAAACGCGGACGAGGGGAAGAAGTCGGTGCAGCGATGCAACATTGAGTAGTTTGGCATATGTATGAGTCTCTCTCGGTATGTGCCGTATCGAAGAAAATTGCCGGCGCATAATCGCGGCGAGTTGAGGAGAGGAACTCGGAACGATGTTACGACGAGAGCGGTCGGCAAAGACCGCTCGCGCGCTCGCGGCGAAGAATGCGCCCGTTGTGCTCGATTTTCGCGATTAATCTTTTAGCTGGCAAACGGAGAGTAAACACAAAGAGCGACGAGAATAAAGAGTAACGAGCTCGGCGTTAACACGGGCGTGCGGGGTCGAAGCAACGTTCCGAAAGACACGCGCTCGAGAGAGTAACGGCTCGTGAGATCCTCCTCGAGATGTACGAGGAGAGAATCCGCTTGACGATACTTTAATTTGCACCCCTTTTATCCGTCGCAAATTCCTGGCTCTCGAAGCATCTCCTAAATATCCCGGCTGTGAGTACGGCACGTCGTGCTATGAACGCCGAATGGAATTCTCGTTAAAGTTAACTGAAAATTGACGGGGAAATTATATTGGCGGGATCCGGCTACGTCGCGCGCCGAAGAGACTTAACAGCGTTTCTCGCGGCATTTCTTTAAAATCCGGTCCCTTCGTCGGGGAAATGTGTGTCCCTTCGTGCGGCGGCTGTGCGGCTCTCTCTCTCTCTCTCTCTCTCTCTCTCTCTCTCTCTCTCTCGGAGAGAATTACCTTTGTGAAGGAACTTGCTTGCTACTTCGAAACGTCTTTTTTCCGTCTCACTCGAGAATTATAAGAACCGGATAAGAGGGAAAGGGAGTCTCGAGGATGGGGATGCGTGAAGGTGTAACGAAGATACTCGTATCTCCCACTTGGCGCCGGCGAACTTCTGATCCGAAATGTTAACGCGCCACCGCGTCACCACACACCGCGTTTCGCATATAATATAAAATAAAAATTCATAGCATGTGATCAGTACGAGCGAGCGATTCCGCGTGCGTGTGCGTCTTCCGTTTCTTTCCCTTGCAAATTGAAATTCGAAATACCGCCGACGAGACGGCGGAGCTAAGCACGCGTGGCCCGCAGGCGTCGGGATTATCTCGCGTTTTTATTCCCAGCGCGCCTGGACACCGAAAGAAAGGAGGAGAAAAACAGAGGAGAGAAAGAGAAAGAAAAGGAGGAAAACGCGGAGGCGAACAAGACGGAGGCTTCAAACGAGCCGTGCAACTTTTAACGAGCCTTGCCTCTCAAAAGCGTTTCCGTTTTCTCCGAGATAATTTCGCGACCGCGAAGCGTTCGTTGTCTATTCGGCGAGAATGGCGCGGAATAGAAAGAGAATTGGCACGTGTGTGGAATTACCGGAGCGGTTTGTGTCCTTTTAATTATCCTTTGAGGTCCATCGGGATGTTGCGCGAATACGAAGGATTAACTGCGACTATCGAAAAGCGTCCTCTGTCATTTAATGTTTTGTCCGTCGGTTTCTCGCGTCTCATTGTCTTCGGGACATCACTGATTGCGCATTAGATATTTGCCCCCCCCCTCCCTGTCTTTCTTTCTCTTTGAAATAATTGTATTCATCATTCTACCGTAGAATATGTAGAATTGTTCATGAAAGGGAGTTAACTTTGAAATGCTCGCCTTTATCGTGGCTCTGACGCGTGGAAAGTATTAAAAATAAAATTTTATTAAAATTTTATTATCGTCGCGTATGTGTGAGAGAGAGAGAGAGAGAGAGAGAGAGAGAAAGAGTACAGGCAATGTGAATTTTCGGAATTCCGATCGGCAATTCTTAAACGTCAGCTAGGCGAAATTGCCTTCTCGGACTTGTGCCTACCGACTGATTCCCTCCCTTTGATCCCTCGATTACCGAATCGTTGACTCACATCGTGCGTTTTCATCTGATCAAATTTTTCGTCGCAAAGAATTGCAAGTTCATAAAGGTGCTCGCAGCAGGTCAATAACGACGATCGTAATAACGGCGGTATTATCTCGCGAGCGGATGGAATGCAGTCCGTGTCATCTTGTATATCGATAGTCGATTCTTCCCTCCGCAAACGCGTCCTCCGATCATGCGATTTCGCGTGTGGTATTGGCATCACGGGGTCACAAGCTCGCACGACCGCGACCGATCGGCATTTCAAACGTGACGAGTATCTTGTGTAAACGCACGAGCATGGGCGACGTTTATTTCGGTGGAAATAAAAATACAACAGCCGGCGGCGAAGCGCCTTTAGCAAACATCTCAGCGCAGATCGAGATTGAAAAATAGCGAGCGAACCTATACATGCATATATACATATATACATATGTATATATACATACATATATATATATATACATACATACATATATATATATATATATATATGTATATATCCGATCTTGTTTCGTCTCCTTCTATTTCGATGGAATATCAAGTGCGTTTTGGAGAGAATAAGATTGCGCAAATCCGCGAGAGTGTCTCAAATGTTTCGCCAATACGGACTTTCCCTCCGATGCTTTGACGTAAGCTTCTCTCCCTCGCGATGTTTCCCCAGTCGTGGATATATTTTCTCTTCATTTGCAGCGTTCAAACGCGCAGTTTTAGCAAAGTGATTCGGGGGAATCCGTGAGTCTCGAAACGCGCCTCGTCTACCGCAGAATTCCCCGAATGTTTACAGTTATGTGGAAGCGGCTTGTTAGAGATACGGAGTTTTCTCTTTGTGAGCGGGAACTTATTACCTGAGAAAAAGAGAAATAAATAGAGAGCAATGCCGGCCTAAGCAGCGGAAGATCGCGGTGACTCGACTGCGCGTCTCGCGAGGAACTCTCCCCCGTGCGTTTGGGACTCCGTTCTTTCACGTTCGTCGCTATTAACCTCCCGAGACGGCGGAATTTCGCTGTCAGGAGCGTGCCTTCAGCGCACACGCTCAAATTAAATTCCAAATGCGCGCTATTTTTCAGACGTTAATCAAATCGCGGGGTATATACGTATGTACGCGCGCGTTATAAATAAGTCGACGACGCTAGCGAATGGGGAGAA